CGGAACACAGAGTAACAGGGCGCAGGTAAGACAAGGGGATCAAGGATGGCAGAGTCGCACAATAGTAATTGTTCCGTTGCTGCGAAGGGGCCATACCAGCGCACCGAAACGGGTAATGATGACAGGGACAGAAAACCGTTGTTGCCAACGAGCAGCCGGAGGTCAGCACAGAGCTGGCAGGACATGTTATCAGACCCTTGGTGCGCGGAAATGTACGATTTACTGACTGAGGGTGCAACGGAGTGGCCCCAGTCCAGCGGGGAACAGTCTTCCTGTTGTGTGGGAAAACGGAAAGAAGGGGACATGACTACTGCGAGGGATGAGCAGACGGACATCACTGACGTGAACGAATTGTTCCCTTTTACATGGAAATCTGCGCAACACGCCATACCCGCATCAAAATCTGACATTGAACGGTTGTCGGACGACGGATGGCTGAACGACAATATTATTGACATTTATTTGCAGTATGTGTATGAAGAGGTTGGGCGGAGCCAGGACAGGTCTTCTGTTCACGTCTGCACAACTTTCTGGCATCCCGAGGTCGTCGCCAATGAAAGTTTTTGGCAGTTGAGGAAAAAAGGATGGGAGGACGCAATTAAGATCAGACCACAGAAGTTGCATCGACTGTGCAACGAACTGCGCATCGGTCACTGTGATACCAGTGAACCGTAACAAACACTGGACTCTTCTTCTGTTGCTGAATGTGAGGTCTTTCTTGGAGGTCACTGCGGAGAGCCGCATATCCGACCCTCCCATTGCTATCGTCGTTGACTCAATGAGAGGAAAAAAGCGAGAAGAATGGACGGCGTTGCGAAAACGTTTGTGGCACGAGTACCTTCACGAGGCTTCTAATTTGCAGTGTCTCACTCCCAAAAAGGTTCATTTTTCGTGGGTGACATGCAGGGATCTGGCAGAAAGTAAACTTGTGCATGCAGAATGCCCGCAACAGAACAATCAGACGAACTGTGGTATTTATGTGTGTTCCATCGCTACCACCCTAATACAATTTCTCGGAAGAACCGCGGCAAAGGATGTGAGGGCGAAGGACGTACTGGAAGTTATCAAAACTACAACGGTGAACGAAAGAACTGTTCGACAATTTCGCGAGTGGATGGTGGACCGTTTTGCTGCATGTGCTGCAGTCACAAAAGGCAACTGCACTTTAGCGGCTTCACCGAACGCGATGCGAGGAAAGTTGACTACTGCGGGCCAAAATGACATAAAATGTGGGATGTGTCGACATGTTTGGCCCGCAGTAGCCAACCTTATCGCTCTGATGGACGAGGCAACTATTCGGGGACGTGACTGTTGAGAATTTTTTTTTGTTCCCASRKWATGCGATCTCCTGCCACCTGACAATACAAATGCAGTCACTCTGACGCACAAAGAGGTTGCTCCCTTGCATGACTTCGCAATTTCAAATCTCTCTCTCTCTCTCTCTCTCTCTCTCTCTCTCTCTCTCTCTCTCTCTCTGCGTGACAAACAACATTTCTGACGCACTTGTGGTTCTTATTSCACTTTGATGCATGTGGGAAAAAAGGGTGATGGCTCCAAGGCGAAAATACGAGGATCTGTGCAGGTCTTTGAAACCCGCGGGAAAGAAGGASAAGTGCCGGAAGAAATCGGGGGCTGAGAAGAGGGAGTCGAAAGAGCATCGCAGAAGCGGTGTCGGCCTCTCCGCGAAAACGGTGCACAGGCGCAGGCGTAGATCCGGGTCAAAAGTTACAGTCCCTTCGAGTGAGCGGGACATTTCAACGCTGAAAGAACGTAACGAGTCGCCCCCCTCGACCCCTGTCGKGGGAAAGCGCGGAAGAGGTGCCGAGAACCATCCGCCGAGGGCCCCAGAAAAAAAATCGCGGGATGATAGAAGCGCGACTACTCACCGGAGTTCAAAGAAGAGAATATCCTACAAAGACGAGAGACCAGTGGAGATAATTGATCTTGGAGGGTCTGACGACAGGCACAACACACCCCAAGCGGAAGAAGAGGAGGAACACGACTGTTCCACGCCAGAGAAGTCAGTCGGTGCGGAGGATGAGGAGGGGGGAAACGAGGGAGATGACAACGGTCCTTCCCACGGGCAGTCGCAAGACACCGACGAGGACGACAACAGCGACGGCAAATCGGCCAGCCAGAGTACCGGCGAAGACTGGAGCGCCGCTTCGGAAGGAGATGATTCGCCATCTCCTTCGAGGACGCTGCGCAGCGAAGGAGAACGGTCGGCACGCAATGGCAGCGACACCGCGGAGCCTGTCGGTGACAGACAAATCGTGCAGCACGTGAGCGCCACTAGAAAAGGTAAAAAACCCACGTCGCACTCGCTCCCCTCCCACTCACGAGCAGCTAATCCCGTGCCCCCACGCGGCGCAAGCCTTCACGCACGGAAAAGGGTTTTAGTGAACGCACTGTTGATAGCCGAATCTTCCAATTACCAAGTGCTGTATTCAGAACAAGGCGCCGAGTTGCTAACACTATCCTGTGCGTTGTGTCTTGTGTTTCCCTGCCCATCGCAACGTCAGGAACGAAAGCGCGCGCAAGGGGCATAGCCGCGCAAGGACCCAACAAGGAGGGCGCTGTATTAGCGAAGAAAATGAAGGGCAAGCTGTTGCGTTCCGTCGCCAAAGCCTTTGCGTTCTCTTCGGCGAACGACGCAACTCTGTACCCTACAGGGGACACGTTTTTCGCGGCGGTGCAAGCGACGGCCAAACTGGCAGGGGGGACAGCAGAGGAAGGGCTGCGGTCTCACATTGCAGAGCGCGGGATTCGAGCTGTCATAGGGGAATGCAACAGGATTATGACGGCGATCCGCGGAGAGATTACCTGGCAGCTGAAGCATTGGTTCTGGGCAGAAAAAGGGATTCCGCTGGTCGGATCGCAGCAATCGGACCACCACCTCCTCGCTCGCAACAAGATGCGCGCCGAGATGAAAGAGAACAAGACATGGAGACGGAGCGGCGACGATCCGTGGGGCGCCCCCGCCTTCAAGACGGCACTCTTAAAAGTTTTCCAGATGAGGAAGGAAGGACGAAACCTCGGCGTCACCCTGCAGCAACTCGCTTTCGCGGAGATGGTCATTCAATGTGAGATAGAACAGAAAACGAAGACGACACGAGCTGCGGGGCAGATAGAAAAATTGGTATCTATAAAGCAGGCAATCGTCTCATCTCTACGAGCGAGCGACACGGTAATGAGTTTTTCCGTCTTCAAGCTGGACAAATCCGTATCCGTGGCTGAGAAGGCAGCAACCCTCTTTCGCTGTGGCACGCCGTCTGTCGACAGGCCTGGCCTCCCAAGCACCACAATAACGGATGACGATTACGATGTCGAATACATTCTCCCTCGGAGTACACCAGCCGGCGGCGGGGGGGCGAGCACCGACAGTCTTGGCGCCGCACCCTGAAAATTTAGGGACAGTTTGGCTACATTTCGACATGGAAGGGAGGATGCTGGGCAATGACCAAACGGTGGAACGGAAGGTTCTTTTTGTAGACGTTTCGAATCAGGAGATGCAAAATGGAAGGGGAGAGAGAGAGAGAGAGAGAGAGAGAGAGAGAGAGAGAGAGAGAGAGAGAGAGAGAGACCTTCAGTTTTGCAGAAGAGAGAGAGAGAGCGAGTGCTTGCACGCACGTGCACCGCATGAGGATTGTGAGCCGTATGTTCCATACAGTCTGATAACTACACAACTTCTGTTATTTATGATACACAATTGTAAAAACATTTGTGTTCCTCATCTTTATGCGATTGAGTGGTGTGTGCGGCTGACTCTCTAATGGTAACATGACACGACAATGTGTTTTGTCAAGCTGTGGTGAAACTTGTTTGTTGCAGGGCAGGGCGACGTAAAATGAGGCTCCCCACGCCAAATCACCTTATATAGAATGGGACACAGCGATCTTAAGGGCACAGAAAAGGAAGGTTGGCTACTGCGTGCCAAAATGCGACGGACCCTGCGTTGTTGGACAACTTGCGGCCCGCACTAGTCAACCTTGTTTGTACGAGGGCAGCCCAACATTTAATCGACGGTCTCCCAYGTCTGCTCCRTACAAGTGAGAGAATAAGTCYAAAAATTTACTCGTTCTGGTGGTGAGAACTGTTCGTTGCAGGGCAGGGTGACGCGGACCTCGGCTCCTCACGCCAAATCGTTTTATATAGAATGGGACACAGCAATCTCAGGGATAAAGAAAAGGAAGGTTGGCTACTGCGTGCCAAATTGTGTCGGACACCGACGTGTTCGACAAGTTTCGGCCCGCAGTAGCCAACCTTGTTTGTACGAGGGCCCCCCCAGCATTTTATCGAAATGTGCACCGCCGTCGGACACCGAAAGTCAACCTTGTTTGTACGTGGTCCGAAATGTGGTCGTCAGCAGCGTGCAACATCTCTCTCTCTCTCTGTCTGTCTGTCTGTCTCTCTCTCTCTCTCTCTCTCTCTCTCTCTCTCTCTCTCTCTCTCTCTCTCTCTCTCTCATCATCAATCTCTTATCCCTCAATTCCATCAGTCAATCATCACGTGCCATGTCGGCGCGCGCACACCCAACGCTCGCCCATGTGATCTTCGTACTCCAAAACGTGCTCACCACAAAACGAGGAAAACACAATCACAACCCACCCCCGGACAACGCAAATGACCTGTGTAGAAACTGCTAGTGCATACGGTCCAATACCCTGCTTCAACAAATTCCAACACAGTTTCAACACGGTTCAACACATTTCAACAAAGTTTCCACAACATTCCAACAACTTTCAATAACATTTCAACAAGCCACCAACAATGGATCAACAGTTGGACCAACTGTTTTTCAACAGTTGGTCCAACAGTTGAACACACAAGTTTCAGTGTCCCCAATATACGGCCAGTGTTGGTTTCCTTCATTTTGTGTTGAACATACATCCCCCCCCCGGCCAGCAGTTTATAAACAGTTGAAATGTGGTGTAAACATAGGTCCAACGTGGCAAAAAATTTGGCACATTTTTTCTGTTGTTACCTTGCTTCCCTGTTGTCGTCAGCCACAATCACCCCGCGGCATCGTCACTAGTGCCCCCGGCTCCAAGTAGTCGGTCTGACGGCATCCGCGCGCCAATCGACAACAAAAAGAAACGCTTGGCCGCCGCCCCCCCCCCTATTTTATATCTCCCGCTTCCACGCCTGGGCCGTGGAGACTTCCTTCCCGCCACTCCGAGCGCTACCGGATACCCCGAGAACTCCGGCTCAACGTGTTCCAGGCCATCCCCGGCGCCTTCCCGCCTTGGCAGCACGACGCGCGGACCTGGCCCACCTCTTTGGCTCGGTTGAGGGAGGAGCCCCCCCCCTTTTCTCGGTTTATGCGTGTCATCCTTACGCCGCGGCCACGCAATTCTTCCTAGTATCGTTCCAATTTTTACGGATGTTCCGAAGGACAATCTTCCACCGAGGCGATATCGCGAGGCGATCTTAAAATCAGTCGGCCCTTTCCTGCCTTCGTGTGCGTGGCCTGATTCATGTCCGGGTTCACTCCCGGACTCTTCACACTTCACCCGGGCGCAGGGGCCAAACAAATCTTCTTTGTATCATTCCGATGATACGGATATTCTGAAGGACCCCACTTGCAACGGCCCTCCCCGCGCCTTCGCGGCCTGAGCGGCCCCACGCACCCCGATGTACTTGGTTTCTATCCACCAAAGGCCATCCTCTGATCCTATGCACGGGCCTGTATTCTAACAGGGACGTGGGTATACCCGCTATGCTAGGCCCCTCAGACTCGCGGCCAGCCTTAGGCCCCAACACCGGCCTTAAGAAGGAAGCAGCATAGCGATAGAACTTAAATCAGGCCCTTAAAGGAATAAAAGGGGCGACCGCTGGAGCATAGGTCAGGGAGCCTTATCATCGCTTCCTTGGTCCTGCGGAACCGGCCCACGATCGGACTCTCCTGCCAATTCGGTCGTTCCCAAAGGGCTGCCCATAGTTACCACCCACTTTGCGCGGGGGTCCAAACGGCAATGTATGTTGAGACAGAAATCCCAACAACGAAGGGAATACCACCCATTTATTGGGCCGCGCGCAAAACCCCGCTGACGCCCCCTTCGGCCCTACAGCGCGGGCCCGTAATCGGGCTCCCCCGACAAAACAAAAAGGGGCGATAGTCCTACGAGACCCTCACCCCCTTTGCTCCTCGCTGCTCCGTCGCCTTCGCGCCGCCGTCCGCGTCGTCATCCGTTGGCCTCGAACCTTGAACCCCGTCGCACGAATCCATAACCGTAACCGATAGGACTAAGCCCAAGCCTGTGACCAGCAGGCGCGGCTTCCCATATAAGGCAATGCCGCGCGGCGTTCCAGCCAGGATACCGCCCGGTCACCCTTTCTACCCACATCTGTGCCCACGACCCCTAAGTGTCTGCGTCGGTCTACCACCCCGCGCCGTGGCCGTCCCATGCGCCTACCGGCGCACCATCCCTACCCTCGGTCACGCGCACCTATTAAAAACAAACTTTCATTCCCTAACCAAGGCCGTAACACGGTCCAGGTCGGTCGGCTGCCCCGACCGCCCATTCAATTAGAAAAATCACACGCGCGCCTTAAATATTGCATGCCCACCTACTCCCTACCGGGACAAGGCAGACCTTGGCCTGCGCGCGGACGACCCTCACATTTTCCCGTACGGGCACTTTAAATCCAGGTTAACCAAGCCTTCCTGTCACTTGCCAAAACCAGGGCGAATACTCTTGTAAGGGTATTCGCGCCGACAACTTACCGGACCATATTAAGCGACGTCCCCGTCGCGTCGCCAAATCAAAAGGCTATAGATTTCTTCACATTCCAAATGCTGACGAGATTAGAACCAATCCGATTAGCCGACAGACTTCAGGGTTGAGGCCTCCATCAAACCGTGCCAACACAACTATATGCTGCCAGAGTTTCAACCTGGGTTTCCATGGCCCCAACACCAGGACGTCGGCGTATTCCGCATCAATACTACAGCATAAGTTCCAAAGGCCCCCAAACCATCCTCTTCCCCTCCGTCCTAGACAACCGCCGACCTCTCGTTGGGTGTCCCAGTTAGCCTCTTTCTCATAAACAGAGCCATAACTAGGGACGCGGGTTTCGAATGGGACCGATGAAGGCATTCTTTGCCTTTTTCAACAAATTCCTCACAGTCAACCAAAATACACATGTATAAGTTTGTAGCCTCTCTCAGGCTTTCCTGCAGTCTAGTACAGAAATGTCAGGTCCCCATCTGGGCCCACCGTAGCCGGGCTGATCAGGCCAGGTCTACGGCCCACCGCGTTGTTACCTTAGCGGCAGTATCCTCCCATTGGTTATACAATGGCAGGTATGTCCCTGATAATCAATCAATCAGGGCTTCCAAAAGACTCGACTCTTATCCCGTGGAGTAATTTCCCTGGGGCGGGCAACTCCCCTTAAACTCTTACTTCGCGGGCCCGCAACCAGGTTGTGTCGGCTAGCAGCCATCCACTCGGGGTTGTGCCCAGGTGGCACTAAACTTTACCGTTAGCTTGGTATTCCCTCAAATATGTCTCAAAATTAGCAAAGGTGGTCCGACGGGGCATCACAAACAATTCACGGTCGCTGCGGGACTACGCAGGGGTCTGAAGGCATTTACCGGCCCTCCTATAATAGGCACGGCATCCTTTGCTCTATCACAAACAGTCTCCCCGTCGGATCCACAAGGCCGCGGCCCCTGACTTGATCAGAGCCAGCAGTCGCCCACCCTGAGGCATCTCTCGCCCTTTTTAAACATTTCAAGCAAACCTGGTTCCCTCTCGTCAGACTTTATCAACACAGACAATGCTTTCCAAACCATTCAAATTTTACCCACCCTTACTCGATGAAGGGTGCCTTTCACAAACGATTTCCTGGCCATCCCCTTTTTGTATGGGATGACTCCTCACACGACCTCTTCCAAAACCATGAGGGGGTCTCCACACAATATAATTCCCACCTTTCAGAACCATGAAGGGGGTCTTAATCATCAAACAGCTCAAATTGAGGGACCACCGTCTGGGTCCCTGTACAACCTAGGCAACGGTGTTTAGTACGACCAAGCATGCAAATTCCTGAATCCATCAATCCCGTAGGATTCTCACAGTTTTTCACAAACAGGCTGCACTCCCCCTCCTTATACTCTGCCCTCTCGTCTGCTCGCGGCATATCGCACGAGTATACCGGAGGGTAGGCAGCTCCACGATTTATACAATCATGCCCATGAGATGTACCCTGTACATCCCTCATACAAAGCCAAACATTCATCGAGATAAATCCATACATGTGAGAGTGATAGTGATCATCACAAGACAAGTCCCATAGGATCTCAACTCATAATACACTCAGGGAGTAGAATGCCTCCCTCAACAATCGAATACAAACACTCAACTCAATGCCTCGCCTATCTGAGTAGGACTCATAACCCCACTGTACACTCATCAGGTACACTCGGGGACATAGCATCCACCTAACATCCACAGAATGGCCAGCCCCTTCCCTCCCCTGCTGGGAGAACTCACATCCCGAGTGCTATAAACTCCCAAATCTCATTCAGAGCAGCAATAGCTTCTAAATCACAAAACCAAATGTAACTAAATAGTCTCATATATCACACAGCTGAGTCCTACGCCTGGGCCGTAGCCCACGAAGAAACTCAAGAGGAAACAAGCGAACAAAAGTCAAACGCATATGTACAATCGGATAGAAACTCATCCCACCACTCCTACGTACGCACACATCTAGGGCCCGCTCGACTTACTCAAGATATGTACACTCCTAACCCCGCCCTGTGTGTGTCAAGGATCTCTAGTCCTATCAATATATAGATAGACCGATCATTACTTACATAATTCGTTATGGTTCTGCCTAAATAACTGAGCCCTGCCCCCATCTAGAGCTAGCTCCACTATCCTGCCCTGCCTATCGTAGAACTTGTCATTGAACTCCGCAACGCGCCCCTCGGCCTTATCCTCGAGGAGTACTGGGCAGACTACGGCTCTATTCCCTTCCTCCTTGCACAAAAAACAGGAGGTATCGTGCCACCTGGCAGTCTTCTTCTTTCTCTCATGCGAACTCGATGCCGAAGGGGTCCTCATGGTCTCAGTAGTTACCTCATGACACGAGGGCAATCCCCTATGGCCCTGAGGTCTAGGCTCCCTAGCCTCAGCACCCTCGCCCCCTCGTGCGGCCGTGCTCACTGGCCTGCAGTCTGGCATATCCAGCGCTCGGGGTCCCTCCTCATGAGCCCTCTGTGTCACACCCACCATCTCATCCCCACATAATCCAAACGGCTGAGAGCTCACCATGGTGGTGGGCTCACTCATGACCTCCTCCTGCTACTGTTGTCGCAAGTCGGGCCCTCCTGAGTCCGTCTCCGTGACCCAGGAGCCCAGCTCCGCCCTCAACTCTCCCAACCTCGGGGCCTGCTCTGGAGCGTCGAGTCTCTTAGGCCTCTCCTGTGGAGTGCCTATCCCCATGGCTGCCGCCAGCTCATGCAAACGCGAAACTCTCCTCTCCGTGGACATGACCATAAGCGACTCCTGTGCTCCCCCCTCCTCTCCTGCCGTGTCCAAGGGCACCCCCTCCACGGGCTCATTCTGTCGAGGGACCTCCACTGCTGCTCCCTGGCTCGGCGAGGCGCGCATCCCCCGGCCCTGGCCATCGGCACCGGCTCGCCCCACCTGGCTAGCCTCCCAGGCTGCCGAGAGCCTATCCACCGTGGCCGCCATCTCCCCAAATCCCCTCTCCCACGCAACCTCTCTAGCTTGGCTCCTCGCCCTCTCCTCGGCAAGTTGGGTAGTCAGGTGCTCTACCTCTCACTCCTTAACCCTGAGCTCATTGCTAAGTAGATTATACCACTGGAAAGATGTGACTGCCGTCTCTCATACCCTTCGATCCATGCGCTCAATCGCCTGCCTGGTCGCGGAGAACCCCAAGTCCCCCATCTCTCTCAACTCACTCGTCTCCTCGTCCGCCCGTCCTGCCTCTCGTGACCTCTGGCGGGCTGCATCCCTCTGGCTCTCATACCTAGCCCACAACTCGTCGATCCTCTGCTCACTCGTCTTGGGCTCGATTGGCGGTGCCGGCTCTATCCCCGCCGCCTCCATCTCAGCCTGTCTTGGGTGTATCTCGTCCAGACGGACCCGCACTCGGGCGGACTTCTCTTCGCGGGTCTCTCTTGGGGTTCCTCCCACTCGCGGCCCCTGGCCTCCTGGAGTCAATGCCTCCGCCTCCATCCCTCCGCTCGCGCACGATACTACTGGCGGTAACTCTGCTGAAATGGGCTCCTCGATATCCGGGCTCTTGGTCACCTGCGTGGCCGAGGGCAAGCCAAGGGGCGCCTCCATCCTCGCTCTCTCACACACTCCCTGGTCCTCTGCCTCTGCCTCCTACTTAGGCACAATGGTGGCCTTAGGGGGAAGCTCCGGAATCTCCTCACTGCCTGGCTCAAGAATCCCCTCTGGCCATGAACGCTGTGCTGGCTCTGGAGTTGGGGAGCATGGAGGGGTATCGCCCCCAACCGTGATCACCTCTCTACCCTGAGGTCGTACCGGATCCGGCCGCTCGGCTGCCATCTCAGGATCCTGCGGCTCCTCTCGGTCTCGCATGTCTGTCTCCATCTCGGGGTCGAGGGGCTCCTCCAATGGCACGTAGCACGCCGGCTCAACTGAGCCCTCTCCTAGCCGTGAGGCCTCCCATTGGGATACATCGAGATGAGTCGCTAAGCTTCGGAATGACGTCTCTCTTGGTGTGTCCAGCTCCTGCGTTGATGGCAGTGGCGAGGGCGCCCTCAACTCCTCGCTCGTAATCCGCCGAAACTCAACCCCCCGGAGGCCACAAGCAGGGAACGACTCCCCTGCCAATGCGGGCTTTGTGGGCTCATCCTCTCGCTGGGCTGGGGCTCCCCTCCTCTCTCTGGCCAACTCGCCTCTCTTGGTGCCAGTTCCCTTGGCCTCTTGCTTCACCGCCTCCTCTCAACTCAGGGCTCGTGCCTCTCGTGCTGTGGCCGTTCGAACGCCCTCCTGAGTTGGGCCTAACAGTCCTCCCAGTCTCGAGTCCTCTCCCGAATCTGTTTGGCCACCTGCCTCTCTGCCTGCCTTGTCCAGATAAGTAGGGCCTGTACCCATTCCTCCCGCACAACCCCCAGACTCAACATGTAGTGCTCATACGCGGGGATGAACTCATCTGCGTTCCCTTCCTCCAATCGAATGGGCATGCCATCACGCCCCCTAGGGGAAGCTCTCAACCTCTGCATCCCGGCCTCCACATCTGGCCAAGTCAGGGCCTCCTCACATATCTGAGCGACAGGCTCCTCGAACCGCCCTATACCCCTCAAGTGGTGAATCCTCTGTGCCACTGACCACCCTCTCTGTGCCGCATGGTCCCGATATACGTCCAAGAAGAGCTCAATATTGTCATCATCAAACTTAGGTGTAGGCTCCCTCCTAGGCGGCCCATGCTGCTCGCCCCCTCCCGCCATTCTCTGGAGCCCCTGGCGTGGCCGTGTGTCCCTCCCGCCCCTCTGCATGACTCCCTTCGAAAAGTCAGACCTGCACAACAGGCGAGAGACAACAAACAAGCACACAGCAGGGTCAGCTATTCGGCCATCGCCCTATGGGAATCCCACATACCTTCTACACCTATCCACCCCAATCATCCACCTATCTAATCACCTGACCTGGGTAATACTTAGGCAAGACTCTATTACCAATGAGGTCTCATGGCCCCTTACCTATTCCCTGACCACGAACTTCTTCGGCCTTGTCCCTGATACCCAGTCTTGCCACCCTGCACCATCCAACTCTTCGATTTGGTAGGTCCCAAATTCGCCACATCGCACAATCCTATAGGGTCCCAGCCACCGTTAATCGAGTTTCCTAGACCATTGCTTCTCCACCGAGGAGTCATACAGCAGCACCACATCTCCAACCTTCAGGGGGTCCTTCCTTATTCGGGTCATCTGGTCCCACCTCATCTTGTCTTCCATACGACTTCTCTCTACCTGACCAGCGGCCTCCCTTAACCTTTCCTCAGCGGCTCCCACCTACCGCGCCCGTATATCGAGCAGTTCTTCAAAGGACAGGTTCACTTCCAGGTCCTGGTGCCTCCACGTTTTCATAAAGCTTTCTATGGGAAAGGTGGCATGCCTTCCGTACCATAGTGTAGCTGGCGCATACTTGGTAGTCCTTTTCACTGTAACATTTTCCGCGAAGAATGCTGCTCTTAGGAATTTCGGTCACTGGTTAGGCTTTCCCTCAGTCCATTTGGCTAGGAGATTCGTGATGGTACTATGCCCCCACTCCACAGGTGCGTTTGCCTGGGGGTGCGCGGCAGTAGTGTAATTTGCTACCACGCCATATCCCGCAAGCAAGGTCTGCACCTCGTTACAAGTAAACTCCGACCCCCGGTCCATCACAAACTCTCCGACAAATGGATAGCGCAACTAGTACTCTTCGATGCACCTTGCTAAAACTGGGCCAGTTTTCGTACGAATAGCCCGACCGTCCACGGACCCGGTAAGGTTGTCCCGTGGTCCCGTGCGTTGAAGATATAGTTACTTCCGTCCTCCCCAAGTGGCATGAACAATAGGTCCAGACGTATGACTGCACCCACTTCCCTTTCCAGTCTGGGGTGCAGGGGCTCCCCCGGTCTTTGCGTTGACCTTTGTCGGCAGGGTACACAGGACTAGGAGTATTTGATGACCATAGTCAGCATTCCATCCCAATGGTATAGCTCACTTATCTTTGCACACGTGGCACTAACCCCTCTGTGCCCTCCTTCTATACCATCGTGTAAGGCTGCTATGACATCGATCTGTCAATTCCTCTCACATACGATCCTCTTGGGGTTCCCAACCTGTCGCTTTATAAACAAATGGCCATCTCTCACTACGTAGAGATGCCTCATCTTCAGGGCCTTAGCACTTGCGTCCCTATCCCTCATTTCGCACGACAGGAGTAACCCCAACTCCCGATAAATTTCGTCATACTCCTCAGCACGGAAGGCCTCCCTAATCTCTCCCTCTTCGAACTCGTCGTCCTGGCTCTCAGGAATGAGAAGTTCACCCTCTTCGGAGCTGGCTGCGCTCCTCTAGTCAAAGTTCCCCTGCAGGAGCATGTTGGTGAGCAAGTACATTCCTCCCATTAGTTGTTCATGCTCCTCTACCTGGGTTGGGCCTTCTTCTATCGTCCTTACCTCCTCCGCTAGACTATGCGTCCCTGTCAATGCCAACCTCATCATCCAGCCAACATCCCTACTCCCCCACGGATCTTCTTCCTGGAAGGGCTTGAGGACCAACTCCTCCTTCTGCTCGTACCCCTTTGGTGCTAGCCATATAGGATGCGTGACACAGCTAGGCACCTTCAGCGACCATTCATTTATGTGGAGGCGGACGTCCTCCTCCTGGTCCAAGAACCCATCGACTGGTGGGGTATCTTCAATTGACTCTTTGCCCGCCCCATCCCAGTTAATACGGCTCAGCCCATCTGCCATGTTCTTGTCCCCAGGAATCCTCTTCAATTCAAAGTTAAACATTCAAATATAGGTCAACCACCCCGCGATGGTTGGGTCAGATGGAGTATAACTTTTTAGGGAACACGCAAGCGCAGTAGGGTCCACCCTCAAAATGAGTCTTCTGCCAAAGACATAGTTACGAAAGGTCGTTAGGCAATGGAGTACCGCCAACGTCTCCTTCTTAAACTGGGAGTAATTCCTCTCAGTCGTATTGAGGGTGCGACTTTCAAACCTTAACGGCCTCTCCTTCCCATCCGCATCTGCCTGAATCAGGACCCCTCCTAAGGCAGTTGGCCCGACGTCCGTCTCAGCCCGAATGGCTTCTCCTCCGTAGCCTCGTAGTTTGGCGCTCCCAACACTAAGCCCCCTTCCTTGAATTCTTTCTTCATCTCTTCCACAGCCTTTTCCTGATCTTCACTCCAGACCCACTCCTGATCCTGACGCACCAGCTTCCTCAAATGCTCCGTCTTGGTGGCGAAGTCCTTCACAAAACTCCTTCAGAACCCGCAGGTCCCAAGGAAGTTCCTCACGTCCGTTATCAACTGGAAGGGGACTGACCACTCTAGGATCTTGTCTGTTTTCTTCACATCTGGCCTCCGTCCTTTCTCATTGCAGACAAAGCCCAGAATTGTGACCTCCCTCATACAATGTTTCGACTTGGGGCCGCTCACCGTCAGGTTGTGTTCTTCCAGCAGACCCGGAACCTGATCGATATCCTGGACGTGCTTTCAGACGAACCGCCTTACGCCTGGCATCACTTCGTCTTCCTCCTTCTCCTTTGGACCCTTGACCGCCAAATCATCAATGTAGGGCTGAGTAATATGTGGACTAACCGTCTGCATGGCCCTAATCATGTGCCTTTGCACCATCGCCATCGCATTAGTCCACCCCTGAGGCGCCACGTTCATGTGGATCAGCCCCCTTGGCGTGTGCATCGCCGTCACCTGCCTATCCAGTGGGTACACAGGAAACTGGTCATACCCAGAATAAAGGTCTATAAGTGAAATTATAGGCCTCCCTGCACATGACTCCGACAGGGCTCCTGCGTTCGGCAATCCTCCCTCGTCCCGCACCGTCACTGCATTCAGTCATTGCAGATTCTGCACCCACCGCAGCATTCCGTTGGGCTTGATAAAACAAAACCAAGGGGAAGCATACGGTCCACTGGAGTAATCCGCCACATACGTCCTCATCTTCCCATCCAAGTAATCCACCACCTTCTTCTCCTCATCCGGATTCGGATACCGCGCGCCACTCAGGTTTCACGGTTCGTGTAGGACGATATGGATTCGTATCATCGGGATCTTATCCACGTCCAACCTCCCACGCTCGTCATCATTAAACGCATACGCGCAATGCCTCCTTCTCATGGTCTCCACCATCAAGGTTCTCTCCTGGGGCGACAGGAAGCCAGGCTCACCAATTATCAACCCTTCCTCATTCTCATTATTGATGCAACACGGCCGTGCCTGCTCACGTTCCTGCATACGCCTTATCAACCCCCGCTCTCGCTCATAGTAGGCTTCCTCATCCTCCGTGGCAAGCACGGCCCTAAAAAAGGCGACACTTCTTGTCTATGGTCTTGTACCGCCTTTGGGAGCCCTGCTTAAGCCCTCCCTTAAAAAAGGCCAACTTGTTGTTCGGGCCTGGGCCATCGCAGGGTCCCCTCTCCTCCCAGGAAGCTAATAGATCAGCTCCACCTCTCCTACCTGAGGGCTTTCCAGGACCTGCTCCCTCAACGCCTTTATAGTCTCAGGGTCCGCCATGTCATGCGCCGCCACCACCTCCATTGCCTTATTCACATCGTTAAGCTTTAGGGACAGTACCTCGCCTGCTCCTTCCCCCTCCTGTTCCTCCCGGAGTCTCCGCCGCGCATACTCAGACTCCTCGAAGGTAAAGGAGCCGAGGTTGAGCCTATTCCTCGCACTTTCGGGCCCCGTGTTCCGGCACTTGATGATTTTGTAGTTTCCGCAAGCTGGATCGGATAGAGCCAGGATCATCGTCCCCTCATGCCTGTTGAAGACCAAGGTCTCCGTTCGGCAGAGGAACGACCTCCCCAGAAGGATAGGGTGGTCGACATCAGGCATGACGAAGAAGCATGTTCGCGCTCTTACTCTCCCAATCTCCACCATCACATTAGACGTGGTGCCGCAGAAAATGGCCTTACAGTTGGCGCCATGCAACATTCCATGGTCCGAATGGTCGACCTCCAACCCCAACATGGTCGCGTCCCGCTCCCGGATGATGTTCAACTTTGCGCCCGTATCCACCATTGCGATGCTCGGCTGGTCCCTCACCTTCAAGTCCACCAACCCACACGCCACACATTTCCAATCCATCCTGGTGCCTGTCTCTGTCCGCTCTATCTCCCTAGGCAGAATTGAGCTCAGGTGGACATTGGGCACTAATCTTCGCGAAAGCCTCCCTTTCAGCTCACCATGGAGCCTTGGTGCCGAGGCCAAAATGTCCTTTGGATTCATCAAATCGTTATGGCCTTCCAGGAGCTTGTCCACCATTCGCTCCACATCAAAGCCTTCCTCCAGCCGGACCACGTACTTTTTCCTCTTTGGCACGCCATCATGCAGACTCGGCTTTGCACCTCCCGGAGCCCCTCTCTTCTTGGCCCTCTGTTTCGCCCTCCGGTCCGTCTCCTACCGGAGCTTCTCGTCCTCTTCGTCATCACCCTCATCTTCCTCTCTTGAACCTCTACCACTTCCTTCCTTCCTTCGGGCTCAGGGTCCTTTCGAGGGGGCGCCCGACTGAGTGTCTGGCTAGGCCCTTGACTGGTGGTAGCCTTTTTTTGGCCCCTCGTCTGCGCGGCCTGTGGTACCCTTCCATGCGACGTAGGGGGTCTGAAGGTCATCCCTGACCTAGGACCTGTCCAGGTCGTCGCCACGCTTGGACATCCTTATGGTCCTGACGACGACTCCGGACCGGACCCATAGAGCATCACCTCCGGAAGGCTCATTTCCCATTCCCAGGCCTTTTCAAACATTGCCCTTAGTCGTTCCTGATACCTGCCGACCTTTGCAAGCAGGTCCTCCATCCTCTCCAGGATGGTCGAGGCTGACTCTCTCACCACTTCCTGCACCTCATCGTCAGACTCAACAACTATGGGTTCCTCCTTTATAGTCCCCGCCTTCAACCGTTGAGTTACTTCCTCATTTTCATCCACAATCTCCTCGACTCTTACACCGGGGCCTTGCCTTTCCTGCCATATCCTAAACATTGCTGGGGCTGCTGGAGGCCCGACCGCTGCCCGCCTAAGGGCTTCCTGCCTGATTCCTCCCGGGGTCTTGGGGTCAATGTGCGTTCCCCACCGATCGTATATATCCCCATCCATACATGTAGAGATTAATCCTGCCTTTTCGTCGTCCTGCCGCTGTTGGCAGAATCGTACGGTGTGGCCCACCTCGCCACAATGCCAACAAGTTGCGTTCCGCCTGTCAAAGCGGGGTCTCCCGTACCCTTGGCCCCCTCCCTGGCTGCCTTCCCCCCCTCCCTGGCTGCCTTGGCCGCCTTGGTTCTGACCCCTTTGACCATTCCAACCTCCTCCACGGCCTCCACCATTTCCTCCTCGCCCCCGGCCGCCCCCTCCTCTACCTCCTTGGCCCTAGCCCCCATTGCCCTGCCCGCCTTGTCCTTGGCCTCCTCACCCGGCCACACTAGCTTGCGAGGCCTGCGGGGAGGGCGGCGGTTGAGTCACGGGCTGACTTTGAGTCGCTGGGTAGCTCGGGGGGCCCATACTTGCGGATGGGCCTGAATAGGGGACCATGTGCCCCGCGTGGGCCTGACTCCCTCCACACGAGACGCAGTAGTTACAACTGGGCCAGGGCTTAGATTGGCAATGCGGCACCCAGTGTCCACAAGATGGCGGCAGCCCCATGTGCGATGATCCGGCTGGCACGGGCGCTGAGGCGGCCGCGGCGACAGATGGTTTTAGTCAGGGCTTGGGAGCCTGTCTCCCCTCCGTCGTAGTCTTCGCGCCCTACCTTCTCATCTCCTACTCCTGACGCCCGGCCTTGGGCCATTGCCACCACTCCTTTCTGTAGTTCTGCTTCGCTATCATACCCCAGTGCTGTCAACACGTTCGTGACTATTCTCTTCACCCCTGGGGTCCCGGATGCAGTAGCATCCCTCTCCTTCCTCTTGCGCCTTTGCAGCCTCATTTAGTGTTGCTCCACCTGGTCAAGGCTCCCTTCTTCTACTCCCTTGTCAATGGTTGCCCAGGTAAGCCTCTCGCTTCCTTCCCCATACTTCGTCAACTTTGTGGCCTCCGAGCCTGTAAGCAACCCCAAAAATGTGGCGCACTGCGCCTCCTCAGAAATCCCATGCACTTTCCTCGCCCTTTTCTTGAACTCGTGCACAAACGCCCCAATGGTAGAGAAGTCTTCCTTGTTTATGGCCTCCAAGTCGGCCATGGTCAACAGGTCGTCCCCCAGCCTACACTTCCTTCGCATTAGGTCTCCAAACTTTGCCCAACTGCCACCGGCGGCGTCCACAACCTTAGTTGCTTCCCGATGGTGACTGTGCAGGACATACCTCAGGACCCGCTGGAGCTTGACCTCATCTGACAGTCCCACCAGCGCCTGCTCTGTCAGATCCAACCAATCAGATACCCGATCCCCTTTGAAGTGGAATGTCTCGACTTTTGGGACGTTGCTCGGCGCCCTCTCACGCTTGTCCAGAGCATCGATAAGGTCATCGAGAGTCACAAGCTTCCTCCCACCGTCCGCCATCTTTTCTTGCCTCTTGGCCAACCGCCTTCAGCTTCAATCTCCCTGTTATAAGAGACGATGGGACAGAGGACCCCACTCAGCGATTGAACCTTTCATAACCCTATCGAGTTGACCACCTTAGACACCCCACACTCTAGACCTGACAGGCATTCCTTCTCCCATTTCCCTTGGGCTCATCTAGATAACACTTACCCTTACCATAGAACTTCCTCATCCACATACAGCACTCAGCTGCCACCCAAACCGCCAATCAATCAATCATCCAACCCGTAGTCATAAAGATCACCATACGGTCCGTCTCATAGTTCTTCTCTTTTCCCACTCATATGCCTAGTTCTCCCTCACTCTCGTACCCGGATGTCGTTCCACCAGGGACAACGGTAGGCTTCCGTTATCCCCGGCAACGGCGCCACCTGTCGAGCGCATCGGTTCGGCACCGCACGCGGCAACGCGGGACCCTCTCGGCCGCGTCGATCAGAAGTTGGACCTACCTCGTCACGAACACGCAGATGGAGCTTCCTTAGGCCGCTCCGGCCGAGTGCGCCAGCCATACCTCTCGCGAGCCCCTACAACAGGATAGGGCCTACGCGACGCACAACTTACCTCCACCTTACGGGAGCTGTCACCTCCCTTCGGTGGGCGTATCCCCGCCGAGCTACCAGTCCACAATACGAAAGCTACTCGGTTGCAATCGCAGAGGTGGACCAGCCGAGGGCATTTCTCGTTCGCTGTAGCATAGGGGGTACGCGCAGTAATACGCCTATCGGACCCTCACGGGAACCGACTTCTTGGGGGGCTGAAGTCCCAAGCGTGGCTCGACGTCGGTCGACTAGGACGCATCCCACACACCACGCGCACACCACTTTACAAGCACAAAAATAAAACACACACACACGCACGTACAACACGACACAGCACAAACAACGCGACAACGCTTCTAGTCCCTCGGTAGCCGACCCATAACCTCCTGACGGGAAATCGGATAGGCGTCGTGCGCGAGACTTAGTATACAACCGCGCGGACGCAAGGCTTGCTCATATCGACTCGCAATGCAAGCTGTCTCTTATACACATCTCAAGCGTGCGCAAGCAATCGCAATGATGGCGTACCAGGTAGTACCCATACTCACGCGGTCCTCGTTAATCTCGAGGGTCGCGTTCGACACTCAAGTGTCGGCTGACACGCGCCTAGAGGGTTAATCTCTCGACGCCAGATAACCGCCATGCGCGGTTGGAGACCACACACCCTCTTCTGCACCCTTATGCAGAGTGGGTTGTACACAGGCCCATCCCTGTGGTGGTAGTCGTCTCTCGCGGCCCTAGGGGTGAGTCCTCCACGGGGCCTGGGCGAAAGTCAAGGGGTTTGACTTTGACGGGTGCCACGGACTACAACGCCCAACCATAAAAATCTCTAAGAAGCAACAAAACTCCCACGAACCCAAGAAGGGGGGATAGGGCAAAGGTCTCCTGGCCCTTAAAACAAAAACTCATGGCCTTGGGATACACTTCCCCTCTATGGGCGGTGTCGGCGGCCAATAATAATCCCAAGCGTTGCGCCTACACACAAGCCCGGCGGTCCCATAACCTTTAGACGCCGAGGCGGCGAGGCGTCGCACGTAGGGCTCTGATATAAAACCGCGCGGCCGCAGGCCAACCCTATGCCAACCACTGATCCCAATCCTATGTGGTGACCGCGGCTTAGGCCTCGCGATATTGAATGGCTGAAGAAACTCATCGCGAGGGATTATCCCTCACATTATTGAACGGTTGAAGGACACGTCGTTCGGCCCTCTCGACGTTCCGACCTTTCGGGTGGAGTGTCCCGACGACGAAAGTAAATAGGCTCCATGCAAAGGGAGGCTCCTCCTCTTAAGGGCCTAGGGCTTGGGATGTCCTGGACAAGGACCTCGAATCCCGGCCCAGGGTCAACGTCCGACTAAGAAGGTCCCAAGACGCAAAATAGGCAGGAGGGAGGGTCTTCCCTGTCCTTCAATCCCAACTCTCACGCAGTTGCTAACATGGCCCTTTCGGCCTCCCGAACACTCATCATACGTATATCCACGCATACATACGGAAGGGGGGCGGGGATAGAGTTATGACGATCACTTCTCACATGCACAGTGGGACTCCTCACAATCATGTATATGTGTATGGAATCGCAGGCAGTCCAAATCCAAAAATCCGAGCCACAGGACATACCTGCAACCACACCAAGAATCAAGCGACAAAACACGCACTACACGGAATCAACCCCAACCATTCTCTATGCTCATACCCCTTCGCTTTAGCCATGCAAGCCCCAACTGCCAGTCCAACCAACCTCAATTAAATACTCAGTACCTTTGTTAAATAACCATTCAATAAAAGCCCGGGTGAAACCCTTAACAAACAGTAAAAACCACCAGGGCTAAAGCCTTTTAGGTTGAGTATGGGGAATGGATTGAAATTGAGTCGAAGACCGACGAATCGGCAACCAACCTGTTATCAGTGATAATAGAAGACGACCCTCGTAGAATCGAGCCGGAACTAGTCCAAATCCTGAATCAACTCGATCAAGATGGCCTGTAACACAAGACAGGTCAATCCCAAGGCTAAACCTTTAAGTCTATGGAGAATAATCCCCATATCACGATTCCACTCAAACTCAAGGCTAAACCTGAATTAGCAAAAATTTGGGCAGCACTCCCTTTAGAAAATGAGACTTTCCAAATTTTTACTAAGTCAGATATAAAGAATAGATAAGTTGAACTTTGACAAGTCAAAAGTTGACTAACTCCCTGGATTCGACAGCGCTTCCCGTAGAGAAAGTAGCTTGCCAAGATTTATACAAAGCCAAGTATAACAAAAGATCCCAGAAAATGCAAGAATTGATCTAAGTAAAATAAAGTCAACTTAGAAAATGCAGGAGTTGACCTAACTCCTATCGCTCTAGCACGTGGCGAGCCTCTAAAGCAACTACCTGTCAACCTGAATCCTAGACCAAGTAGTAATCTCTCTCAGCCACATGCGGGCCAAACCACAAAGGTAAGTACTCTCACCACTCCCAAGTCAATTTAAACAAACAATTGTTCATAATCTCTCAGTGAGTTATCCCCTCATACCCAACTTACATAAGGCATAGGTCAGGGCACCTGAACTTACAGAGCGCACCCAACTTAGTCAGGCTTAAAGTCAGAATACCTAAACTTATAGAGCGTCCTTACTCGGCCAAATACACCCAAACAGAGGGCACAACTACTTCTTTCGTCTTTGGGCATATGACTAGACCACTCTAGTCGCCCTGAACTGTTTAAATAGCCAAATTATATATACCTTTTTGAACTTAGTCTTCAAAGGGACATAAGGCTGAGCCGCTCAACTTAGAACATTGCTCAGCCTGCCCATATTTACCTTCAGTTATACCTCTTAGTTATACTCTCTTCAGTTATGATAAGCTGTAGTCAGGCTACCTAAACTTATAGAGCGGCCTAACCCGCTTGTTTGTAATAGCATAGTAATACAATATAGCCAAATTATATCCATTGGGTTCCAACATGTGCGAAGCATTGGACCAGACTACCTAAACTTATAGAGCGGTCCGGTCCTCCGCCAAGTTCGTTTCTCTCTGATCCAATATGTGCGAGGCAGTGGGACAGGCTACCTAAACTTATAGAGCGGTCTGTCCCCTGCCAAAATTATTCCCTCAGAACAAAACAGTAGAAGGGTTGAACTACCTGAATTCATAGAGCGGTTCAGACCCTCTCATTCAGAATCAAAGAAACTTGAAGAACCCCAAACAAAACGAGGCAACCCAAGGTACCTAAACTTATAGAGTGCCTTGGGTTCCTAAAAGTCACTCACAGTCAAACTCCCACAGGTCAGAGCGGCCAGCACACCTAAACTTATAAACCGTCCTGACCCTCCATGCAATTCACAGCACTAGGTCTCCCCAAACTTATGGGGGATGGGGACATCCCAACCTTGAGAGCTTCAGGCTACCTAAACTTATAGAGCGGTCTGAGGCCCCATGCAAACCAAAAATAAACAAAGCGTTGGGCGTCCCCAAACTTAAGGGGACCTCCCTGCCTTAATGACCCAGTCAAACTGCACACAACCTGCCTTCCTCCCAGCCTTCCCCCCGATGCAACCCACTTCGTTCACAATCTGGTTTCATGCAATCAGCAAAAACTAAGACTGAGATTGTACACACGCTCCTTTACTTCAGTCTGACTTAAGTCCTGACAGTCAAACCAAATCAAAGTACAGGATCCAGACAATACACTTAGTCAAACGTAGAGAGATGTACAAGTAGGGGTTGTAGTTGGGTTTATAGAGGGAGTTAAGGGATTACCACTCAGTTCCCTGCCTCCAGGACTCCGCCTGAGTCCCGGCAGGGCTCCCGCAATCGGTGGGGCAACCTCCCACGAAGGCCTTGGCGCGGGTTACGGGCCACACGCCCGCTTGTCGCCCTCCTCTCAGAGCCAAAGGACCAGACTTTAGAGTAAGAAGGGCAGGATAAGAAGAAGTAAGACTCTCAGACTAAGGAAGGACGCACTCAGACTCACGCGAGAGGGTCTTCATATCTTCACTCGCCTGAGGGCCCCGCAATGGTGGCCAGGTCCCGCAACAACTTAGTCAAAACGAAATCCACTGCCGACTCTTGAGACTCTCTGGCGATACTTCAAGCCGCAGCGGTAAAACCCCCCCCTCCCTTGCAAGTCCGACCTTTCTTCCTAACAGAATTGCCTTTACGCAGCCCAGAACGGCTGCGTCTCGAACAGAGCACACCCTCGTGCCCTATTCGAGATAGGTACCACTCGCAGGGAAACGTACCGCACGTTGTAGCTACAGCGGCTACTGCCCAGTAAAAACTTCGGCGGTATACAGTAATGCAGCCTGCAACAGTAGGAACACAGTTCGTGCAGCGGAACGCAGCAGCTGCGGCTGATCACACAACTCAGATTCAGAGTACTTCGGGATGAACTGTTGCCAAGTACACAGTTCAGAATCAGATTTCTTAAAGGCGGCTCGCAGTGGAGTGCACAGTTCAGAGTAAGATTGCTTCCACATCAACTATGCTGCAGCACAGTCGGGCGGTGGCTGGAAAGACGTCGCGAGTG